CGGCTCCAACAAGAGAGGGAAAGGGAGGAAGAAGAAGAGGAAAGAATAAGGGCTAGGGTTTTTCTTTGTTTTAAAACTTTAACTCCCTTGGGCTTGGGTTCTTTTCCTTTTGTTTAAGGTCCACTTACCCAACCCCTCCTTGTTAAAACAAGCCAATAATATAATTTCGTAAATGRCCCAATGGTCCAAAACARGTGTYACATAGCGGAAMCCGTACTAAACCATAACTTGATAAATAACTACACGCTACTAACTCACCACTAAATCTGTAACAATACACACTAGCCGAGATGCCACACTTAAATTAAATAAAGRTAACTGATGRATCAAATAAAATAAAATGAAATAAATAAATAAATAAAATCTATTTTGTTATAAAATTTCCCGGAACTCGAGGCAAGCTAACCTGAGTAACGCGGGGCGTTACATCCCCAAACATCAGTATGAATAAGAGAGAAGGGAACTGATATTCGTTTATTATTACTAGGGGAGGGTACACGCTTGTGTTTAGCGAATTCACAAACTTCACATTGAATTGACTCATGATTAAGATTTTGGAATAAATCGGGAAACAATATTTTAAGAGCTTGAAATGAAGGATGTCCTAGTCTAATAATTCAACAAAAGCTTACTTGAAGGATGATGAGTTTGTGAGGTAAAGGAGACTGGAACACTAGTCTGACCGACAAGTTCATTAAGATAATAAAGTCCATATTTTTCATTAGCAAGTCCAATAATCTTCCCATTGCCCTGGTCCTGTAAAATACAAGAAGAATCAGAAAAAATTACTCTGCAACCTAAATCTTTGATCAAATTCTTTACCGATATCAAATTAACAGTTAAACCTGGTATATGAAGTACATTCTTTAAAGTAATGTTTGAATTTATCTTGATGTCTCCTTGACCAGCTATTGTTGCCAGGGTACCATCTGCTGTAGAAATTTCCTTATTGCTCGGACAAATACTATAATAGATAAAATGACAGCTACAATTCGTCATATGGTCTGTTGCACCAGAATCAATAATCCAGATACAACGTTTAGGCTGAGAAGTTATACTCGTCAAAGTTACCGAACTTGTACCTTGACTAGGAGCATTATCCAAAGTTTTTAAGAAGCTCCTTAATTGTTTGATCTCATTTATGTCCAACTTTTTTTGTAATTTTGGACGATTGTGACATTGATACCAAGACTAAACAGCAACTCAAAAATGGAGATCCAAAACTGAAAAATCAGCACTGAACCGAACTAAAAGAGGGTTGAATCGAATCAAAAACAGTTGAATCGAACCAAAATATTTCAAACCGAACCAAATCTGATTGAAACGAACTGAACCTGTCGAAACGATCCGACAATGAACTGAACCGGACCGAAAAGCGCTGAACCAGTCCAACAACGATTTGAACCGAGCCTAAAGGAGCCGAACTGGCTGGACCGAACCAAGTGAACCGAACCAGTTGAACCAGCTATCTGAACCGAACTAGA